ATTCTATTCCATTTCATCCTAATCTATTCCACTCAATTCTAATCCATTCCATTCCACATCTCATATCATAATAAAATGGTGAATGAATTATTCCTAATCTTCATTTTATAAAGAACAATTTTACATTATTACCACAGAAAAAAAAAAAAAACCGAAAGTCTATTGATGAATCTAATATATCTCTAAAAAAAAAAAAAGAAATCTTCCATCTTCTCTTTACCACTTTTTCCACTTTATCACTTCCTTTTATGAATGATGAAAATTTATTTAGAAAGAAAATTGAAATTAGCAAAACCCATTGGCTTTCTCTATCCTCATCTATCATGTTCAGTTTGTTATTTGACAAGAGACAACCTCCTTTCCCTCTCAAAAAAAAAAAAAGTAAAAAAAAGGGACGATCAATTTATTTAGCTTTTGGACATGAATTATGTCAAACAAATAAGAAAAGATATTGAGAAGAAAAAAAAATTGATGAAAGACTGTTATTTAAGCCATAATATTTAGCAAAATATGAATATATCATTCAGTTTTTTTTTTCTCATTAATTTGCTAAAAAAAAATTCTTCAATTTTAACTTTTCCAAATTTTATAATATTTTTGAATAATTAAAATTAAAAATGAAAGAGAAGATGCTAGAGTTGGGGGAAAAAAAATTATAATTTATGCAAACCTTAAAATGCATCATTATTCCTTTGGGTAATGTTAAATTAAAATATCTTCAATCAATTCATCCATCCATTCCTTAGTTTAGTATTTAAGATGAAAGCTAATATTAGTAGCTTAAATTATATTTAACCAATTAAGATGTTGAAAAAATTTGAGGTAAAAGCGCTAATATTAATAGGCAAAAATCTTAATTTAATCAATCAGATTTACGAATAATATGATCTTTTAGTTTTTAGCAAATTTACCATTTTATTTAAAATGAATAAATGATTAACAATTGAAGAAAATATATTACCTAAAAAGGTTAAATTTAAAAAAGCTTGAAAAAAGAAATTAGCCGATAAACAGACAATTTGAAATAACTGCTATACATAAGTTTCAAATGATGGACATAAATGTGACAGTAGAACATATATATGTCCCATTCTAAATTTATTAACTCTCTCTTTGATGAACAAGGTGGAAATGTCAACAGCCAACTTATCTAGTTGTCAATCCACCTGCTTCCATTTCATTTTGATTTTAGTTAAAATGGTAATTTTCTTATTCTCATAAAAAAGTAAAAAAAAAAAATACAGTAAAAGCTGTAAATTTAGAGGACAAAGATCAACATTGTCAACGAAAGCAATATTTAATATATTAAAAACAATTATTCAATCTCATTAATAAGCAGTGAATTTCAAATTATTTTATCTCATGCTTTTTTTTTTTGCTCAAATTGAAAAGTCAACAAGCGGCGTGCGCAAATGTTTCTCAAAAAGCCAAATGTATTAAAGTATGATTTCGTAATTAAAGTGACAAAAATAATTTTGGCGTTCATTTGTTTCCTGCGTAAAATTGCACGAACTTCGAACTTCAAAATAAGTCTTAATTAGAATGACGATAGTTTAATTAGTAATCAAAGGATTGAGAGACGAGTGATTGGAAATATTTTTGCAAATTTCCGTACCATTATTTGTTTATTTTTGACAATAAAGCTCTGAAAATGTTCACAATTCAACTTACAAATAAACATACGTTATATTAGGACCATTACTTATTGATAAAATTGATAAATGTTTAATCCTTGAGGACATCGTAATGATTGATGACAATTTTTGATAAGTAATATCACTTGTATTTCTGATTTTTTATCAAAAACGAAAATTTATGAACAGTTATTTTTTTTTTTTTTTTTTGGTAGCAGTAAGCTTAAATTAGTTATGAATTTTTCGGAATCTTTTACAGAAACCTAATAATACACATGGATAGTCAGCTAAGGTTTATGGTTCATAAACTTAAATCAATCTTCAATTAATAAATTAATGGTAAAATTAATTAGTTGATATAATAAAAGAATGATATAGGTGTTCAAATTCATTGTTACTTCTTTTTTCTTATTTGTTGAGTAAATTTTATTGAATTGTTATTACTCCATAATGAATTTTATTTGCTTCGCAATTAATTTCTACCTTTCTTTTTCAACAACTTATTTGCAACAACAATAACTATTTGTCATATCTGTCTCTTTTTTTCTTTTTTTTTTTTGTTTATTTCATGAAGTTTCAAATTATTTTTTCATTGTATTAAATTTCTATTAAAAATAACACCTGAAAGAGATCTCACCGAAATTAGTAAAAAGTTTTTTTTCGAAAATTTGAAATTCATAAAAAGAAGATTAAAGTAATACCAGAAAAGAAAAAGAGAAAAGTCCGAAACTTGGAATAAAATCTTGAGTAAAAATGCTGAATAATAAAATGAATTCGAAATCATAATTTACGTGACGAAACGTAGCAAAACGATAACCTTTGACCCTAATGAATCTTAAATTTTGCCTTTAAGTATTATTGCAAGCTTGCAATTTTTCTTTTCAAACCAGAAAACCGGAAAATTTTTTTTTTTTGTAAAAACATGAATAAAATAGCCGACAATATGATTACGACAAATACACACAATGCCATAATTTACACTGAAAAGATCTTTATTAAATAGCAAAGGAAAAAAAAAATTAAAAATTGAGCTTAACATGACGAAATAAACCAAAAAATAGCCGTCAAACAAAATCTGAACTTTGAACTATACCTAAAAAAAAAAAGAAAAAAGACCATTTAAACTACAAATCACCTCAGAAATATTATTCATGGTATCATTTAGATAAAGAAAGCAACGATATTTTTAATATAAATTAAAATAATTATGCTAATTTCTTCAATTATATCATTATTGTTAACATACAACCAAAAATAAATACTGTCATTTTTGGATGATATTATCAAAGCTAATTAAAGTTAAAGAAAAGTTGAATCTTTTAAATTTCAATATTTTACAATCATATGCAATATTCCAGAGTACGATTTAAAATCCTATCTGTATATGACATTCTATAATTGAATATTTTGGGAACAATTTTATCGTTGACAATGATCAGCATCAACATCAAACTCTAACAGGCTCTTCATTTATTCACCCTTCAAACTGGACATCATTAGTTGTGAACTACATGATTGGTCCACCGATGACCTTTGCTTTTGTTTTTTATCTTTCATTCGTCGATTCTAAAAAATTCCAAAAATAATTGTAATGCACGGAAAAAATTCATAGAGAAAATTCTAGAATTAGATTAAAAGTTTTAAAAAATTGATCAATATTTTAACCATTTTATAATTTATCCTATTCAAATCTGATATAATTTTCAAAAATTCATTCATACAATTAATACAGTATTTATTGGTACAGTAACGGTCATGTATCATACTCTATCTATTGAATAATTTATAAGTATTCTGTAATGAGCAAACCATTTAGATAATTAAAAGGAAAAAAAAGAAAAATGGAAAAGAAAAACTTCTTTACCTGAAACCAAATTTTCACTTGCCTCTCGGATAGGTACAAATTTTTTGCTAATTCATATCGTTTCTGTTTACTAACATAAGTATTGTAAAGAAATTCCTTTTCCAGTTCTAAAGTTTGATATTTGGTATACGGTTTCCTTTTTTTCCTTGATGATATATTTCCAGTCCAATCTAATGTTGCATCTATAAAAAAAATTAAATTATATCAGTAAATTTTTACTTTTTATTTTAAAAAATCAATCTTTTTTATTGTACAAGAAGTGATTTTGAAACAAGAAATTTGATTATCGAAAATTTATTATCAAAAATTCATTTTTAATTTTATCACGGATTTTTATTTTTACATTTTCAAAATTTTTTAAAAAAAAATGAACAAAGGTTGATATTTTAATGTTAAACATTAAAAAACCATTCATTTTTAAAATTTGCTTCAATGAAATATCTAAAATTGCAACAATTGAAATGTTAATAATAATAAAAACAGAAAAATTTAGATTTTTTAAAAAATGAAAATATTTTAGAAATAAATTTTTTTGTTTTTTAATATTTTATTAACATTTTATAAATTTTATTATGTATTTTATTTATTTTATTATAAACGTTTTATTTAATATTTTTATTTAAATTAAAAATATTTGATTTTAATTATATTAAACTTAAATTTCAAATTTGATGATTAATATGGTTATGAAATTTGACGGTATATGCAACAGGAAATACACTTTATACAGTATGGTTTACCAAACCAATCGTTATCCATTCTAACAGTAATTACTGGATTTACAGCATAGGTCAACCTCAAGAACCCACTCATTAACCGAATCTTAATTGCACCCAATTTTATTGTCTGAAGTTTTAACTTCTACTAAAGCTTAAATATATTCTGAACACATCTAAGAATAAGCAATGAATTAGATTGATATCATTTATGAAATACATTGATAGCAAATGATGGAAGTGATAAAAACGGTTATTGATGATGACATTAAAGGTTTTGTAATGTTAATGTCTTAAAATAAGCTCATTTAATTTCAAATTTTCATTGTCCCTTAGGCTTTTCTTAATTAAATTGCTTGCAAATAAAATAGGCTTTCCAAACATCCATTTCAAAAAAAAAAAAAAGTAAACCCC